TTCCGAGGGGGACTTTTAAGAAAGGCTTGAGGAGGAGTACGTATGGCTGTGTTTTAGAGCAAGGGAAGGGGCATTAATGGAAGCGAAAAGGTAACCTTGAAAACGCTGAAGCCATTTTTGACGTGAGAATCCAGAAAGGATTGTAAAGTCTGGAGGGTCTGTGTGGCTGTACAGGAAGGCTTGTCAAAAGGAATCTGATAAATGCTTACAGAAAACTTACAAATGAACAGCAGATATTCTCTTGAGTACAGGCCCGTGTTAAAAAAAGAAAACATGGTCAAGACTGCAGTAGTGATGAAGCTAAAGGAGTTCTTTGCATTTGTGTCGCATCGAGGGAACTAGGGAAGTTCCTATGTTGCATCCTTTTTTATCGGAGATCATATGTCAGGGGATCCATCTTGACTCAAGTGACAGGAAGAAGAGGTTAAGGGGTAGACAAACAGTAGTAAGTTGCTAAAGCTGGCTAGTATTTACTTAGTGACTCAGGAATGTGGCAGAAACCTGCCCAGCCTTCTGTAAGACCACTTCATCTGAGAACTTGGAGGCGGCGTGTGTGATGCCATTTCTTTTTTTAAAGCGTCCAGAAAGAAACAGATCGACAGTCGGACTTCTGTACCAGGCAAGCGAGTAGAAACCATTTTCAGTAATGTAGCTAGTGAGGAGAGTTGCATGGCTTTTATTGAAAGTATTCCTTTCTAGCAGACTACTGCGTAAGTCTTGGAATATGTTTGATAAGGATCGGGTATGGATATGATGGCTGGAACTGGTGCAATTAGTATAAGCTGTATAGTTTCCAAAGAGACTCTCAACATACAGAAATATCAAAGGCCTTTAAAGAAATCTGGTGTATGTAGAATGAAAGGGAGGGTCCTTTGGTGGATAAATAACGGACTAAAAAGAAGAGTGTGCCGTCATCTGCCACGCTGACAGATGGAGGAGCTCTTCTGGGATCTTCATTCAATACGTTCAGGAGCAACGGGGGGAAAAGAGGGCGAATGGTCAGGTGAAGTTTGCTGGCTGTGCTGACTGGTTCTTGCAGTAGGTCAGGCCTATGAAGACTTGCAGGAGCACCCTGCAGTCCTGAATGACGGGGTCGTATCATTCTGTCATGGCCGGATCATGAGTGCTGTATGTTGGTCAGTTGAAATCCAGATTAGATCCCAGGTGTCCATGGGAAAGACTCACTTTAGTTTTGTGTCATTTAATATATAAAATTAATGTGCTGTAAGCTGGCTGATGATGCTCAAGAGCAAGATAAGTTGGTCATAACATGTTTTTATGAAAATACCAGCTTAGGACTTAGTAGCAGCTCATAAAGGGTAAAAAATGTTTGGAATACCTAGAAAAGAGAAAATAGAGGGAATATCTTTTTGTTATTATGATCTGTGCAACTTATACTTCCAATTTGAATGTTGCATGCAGTTTATGTAATTTTGGAGAAGGGGAAGGGATCTAGCAGAATGAACTGAAAAGGTTCCGAAAAAGGCAAGGAGTAGAGGAGAAAACCCCAGCTTCTGCAGAGGAATCAGCTAAGCAGGACTCTGCTTTGGAATGGTAGTAACTGAGGGGTTGTTTAGCCTGGAAAAAAGGAGGCTGAGGGGAGACCTTATCACCCTCTACAGCTACCTGACAGGAGGTTGTAGCGAGGTGGGTGTTGGTCTCTTCTCCCAAGTAACAAGCGATAGGACTCAAGTTGTGCCACGGGAGGTTTAGACTGGACATCCGAAAGGGTTGTCGAGCATTGGAACAGGCTGCCCAGGGAAGTGGTCGAGTCCCCATCCCTGGAGGTATTTAAAAGATGGGTAGATGAGGTGCTTAGGGACACGGTTTAGTGGTGGGACGGCAGGGTTAGGTTAGCAGTTGGACTTGATGATCTTAAAGGTCTTTTCCAACCTAAACGATTCTGTGATTCTATGAAATGAAAACTGTCAGGGTCAAGGGGAAGGTCCTTGCATAAAATGGAGGGAAGTCCCCACCACTTTCAGTTATCCTAAAAAATGCACGATTCTGCTTTATGTGGGCATAAATTACTTAGTTTATTAATTTGGAGATAGAACTCCATTCCCTAAGACAACAGACTGTGAAGGCTCAATGGAAGCTGGCACCTACCCATGCTTTTTCACTTTTTGAACCCCTTTGAAAGGGGTCAGGGCCCTGCCGTTGATTCTTTCAGTACTTGGCACTGGTTCCATTAGTGGCTTCCTCTACATTGCCAACATCTTACTGAGTGGCACTGGGTGCCAAGCAGCTCACTACTGTGGCATTAGGCATTCTGCGGATTTAACCAGCATGGTGTGCTCTGCAGTTCTTCGAAGTAAATAAAAATATTTTCTTGTGTGGAGTATGGCCAAACTGTTCTATTGCCAGTGTGCGTTTCTGTGTGTCTCCCTCACTCCTAAGTCAGTCTTGCAGTTTTCTTTGTAGCTTTTATCATGTTCTAGAATGTCTCATCAGTCTGAATGAAGCATTTAATTTGCTGTAACTGTGAATGGTTTACCAAGTAAAATGCCATTAGTGACTTTTCAGGAAAAGATTAATCTTATCTGGTGAGTAAGAACCAGAATTTTGAAGTCTTCTGTAAGTGGAACCTGTTAATTTCAGCCATTTAAAGCTTACTGTTTGTTTTTTTTTTCCCCCAGGGTTGATAAAGATAGGAGTGGAATAATATCTGATAATGAACTTCAGCAGGCATTGTCCAATGGTAAGTCTGTAAATGAGCAGGGAGGTAGTTCCTTGCAAACTGTTAAATTTCATGTGAGACTGGTTACTTGATGCCATAATTCTTTGATGGGGGAAAAGGGGGGAGAATGTTCCTACCACTGATTAATGCTACTTAATCTACAGCAAAAGACTGAAGGGGGGGAAGAAGTGGACAATCCTTCTGATTTTTTTTTTCCTGAGCCCATTGTTCTTGGTTTTGGAGTTTTGGTTTTTGTTTGGGGGTTTTTTTTGTTTCAAGGAAAGTTTTCTGGGTTTGATGCATGTTAGTAATAATGCATTATAAACTGAACACCTTTTGTAAACATTACTGATTTGTATCCTGGGGAATGAAGGCATGCACATCCCTTTATTTCTTCCAGCTCTGCTTCCTAGAAAATGCAAGTGATGATTTACATATTCCTCCCTCATCACTGCCAAACCTTTGCTTTTTAGCCAGGATCAGTGTATAACCTGGACAAAGATCAGATGTTTACAACCAGCCTTTTTACTGCACATAAAATCTTTTCATACAGTATGGTGCAGGAATTGAAGGTGGTAATTTTTTTTTTTTTTGTTTTCCAAATGAGGCTTTTTCCTAACAAAGTAGAAAGATGCACTCTACATCTAGTAGTACAGCATTCTCGTAGTTTTTCAGTTCCCTGTCATAATGCTTAAAGAGTAACCAGGGTATGGTCAAATAACTCATGAAAGCAAATAAAAACCAAAAAAAATTCCAGTAGCCTATTTTTACTTCCCTCTGGTGGAGGGAGGGTGGGTAAGGTTGTACTTTGTGGTTTTTTTTTTTTCCACTTAGAAATCTGACAAAGTCCATATTGAAGCTGTTTGTGCACCTTTGAGTCCATATCGAGTTCCTCTTCTCCCAAGGTTTAATTCCTTCACCCTTCCTGTCCATTGTGACTGAGAAGAGCTTAAACTGGTGTGAGCTGCAGTGCACACAGACTGAAAGGCTCCTTTTTGTCAGTCATCACCTGACTTGAAATAAATTTGGATGGCTCTATTTAGTAAAATTGTAGTCTTGTAACTAAACTGGATTTACTAGAATATTTGTTAATATCTGATAATTTAAAAGCAGTGTATGCACATGATCCGTAACTAAAATACTGTTTAAAATAACAACTTCAGCAAAAGCTATGTTAAATGGATTAAGTCACCATTTTCATTTAAGATTACAGTGCTGTTTATAACAATGTGGGAACCTGGCTTTACCTGCCGCTTTAAGCTTCATATATTTTAAGTATCTATCTTCTCCTCTGATTGAATTTAAGGGTAACAGGTAGTGATGACTATCTGAACTCTTTTCTCTCCTTGTTTACAGTGTAGATTAGCACTTTCAGTGCTTTGCAGTTATGAAGAATCCCCACCAAGTGAATTCACTATTAGAAAAAATATTTACAGAACTGTAAGCTTCCTTCATTCGGAGGAATTCTAGATCTTGTACACCAAAGTCACTAACAATTCGCTGTATTCTTTTCAAATACATCTTCTAGTGGATGGTTGTGTGTAGCTGTCCTGCAGTCTAACATGGACTAAAAGAAGGTTCTATGTTTATTTCTAAAACATTAAAAAAAAAAAAAGTCTGCATGGTGCTCATTAAAATGCGAAGTTCAGTGTGGTTTTGACATTCAGCTTTTCAACATGTCAAGTTTATGCAAGTAACAGTCTGCTTTACCTGGGAGGGACTCATCATCACTTCCTACAGTTGTTTGTACAATGAAATTCTATGCTTGCTTCTTTTTCTTTTTTCCTCCTGTGCTGCCACGTAAAGTTGATAGCAAAGTCAGGGGAGGGGAACAGTCTTCTACTGTTTAGTGGAACAGGTTGAAATCGGTACAGTTCTTCAGCGCTGGAGTTGCTCCCGTTTCTCTATGTAGTGCCTGTGTGAGTCTCATGAAAATTTCAACATGAAATAAGTTAAATTCCAAACCATGTTTTCCCTTTTTCCTCTCTTCTGTTTGGAGTCAAATGCTGGCACCCTATCAATAATTCCATTATTTTTTATTTTTGTCAGGAGACATACAGCTCTAAGGTACTGACGTTCTCTGTCTAAAATACCGCTTAAGCATGTTCAGAGCGATTTGTACTCATCTCTGCTGATGTTTCTCTTTATGTGCAAATAGTCCTATGGCCGGCCTGTGGTGCAGGGCTTTTCACCGTTGCTGCATCTGTAGACTTACACCAACACAGTTTCCCTTCAGTGGGAGAAATTCAGCACTGGTATAAGGGCTACTTACACCACTGCAGCTTGATGCAGCGAAGCAGCCATGCCTCTCCAAAGCCCGCTTAATACCACCGTGGCCTCTCTGTTAGGTATTCGTGGTCAGCGAACTGCATGGTTGCAAATGCCTCTACAGTTCCCCTGGTCTCACTGGTTCCTTCCTGGTCCATGCACTCAACCTCGGTGAATTTAATACACGCTTCTCGGGCCTCCTGGTACCTTCACAGGCTCTAGAGAATTGATGGCAAAATTCTAGATGAGGCACAGTATTTCTCTTCATTTAAAGCTTAATGCTTCCTAGCGCTCTGGAATGCTTCCACGAGAGTGAAAACCAGATTGAAGTGACTACCCTGTCAAAGTATGCAGAGAAGTACAAGGCTCCTCTTCAGATGATTACTGCTCAGGCCCTTTCCAACAGCAACATTTCTTGGCCTGAAAATATTAATTTAAACTAACCCTTCATTGATTTAACAGCAGAGGTGGGATTTATATTAAACTCAACTCTAAATTGCACTGTGTGGTTATGCCGTGTTAGGAACCTTTTCTTTTCCCTTGCCACAAACAATGCCCTGGAGTAACCCGCCTGTAAAATAGGAAATGAGCAGATGGGTTTTTACTGAGGAATAGGTATGAGGCCTTGTTTGAGTTGTAACTTAAAACTCTTCTTCTCCCATCAATAGAAGAAGTGGGACTTCAGTTTTGATCTTGCCTTTTTTCCAATACCTCCCGGCTATCTGGGATGAAAAAAATCCTTGGTTCTTCTGAGGTTTTGGGGGTTTGGTTTTGGGGCACTTTTTTTGGAAAGTATTTGTTTCTATGTAGTATCTGTAAAGCATTGGTCTGACGTCATCTCTGAATGGTCAAAAATGTAATTACCTCGAAGCAGCCTTATTTAATAATACGCTAGCTCCATGCCATCTAGCTCTGAATTCACTGTTTAAGTTCTTACCTGATTTTTTTGGTTGGTTTGTTGGTTGGTTGCATTTTTTTTTTAAACGTGACTTAGAATTGAAGAACTAAGTCGTTCTTTGTGTTTCAGGCACGTGGACTCCATTTAATCCAGCAACAGTCAGGTCAATTCTCGGTGAGTGTGGCTGTGTGATGTGATGTAGTCAAGATACTGTTTTGTGATCTGTTTAGAAGACTGAGAATGCTATCGATTGCTGCGCTGTTTTAGAGAAATTAGTATGTACAAATATCACGATACATATACAATACGTATTTCTCCTGTAATAATAAATGCCTGTTTAAAGGTCTTCTGAACTAATTTGGCTGTAGGGTTAACAGGCAGGTCTTTCGTTGTTAGGCGGTATGTTTCAATATGTCTTTATTATTTTATTTTTGTTTTTCCCCTCCAGACAGCCCAGCAATAGTAAGTTAAATATTTTCTGTCGACGTAGCCTGAGAAAATGTTACTGTACAACTGAATAGATAGTACATGTCATTTATGCGTGGGGAATTTGTCAGCTTAAGTGTTCTAAAAAGAGATTATGTAGCTTGTCTGCGTAACTGAGTTTTCCCATCTTGCATTTTAATGATGTGTTCTGCTCCAAAAAGACCAAGCAGAAGCTTTACAATGTTTAAATTTGACTAAATTTTTTGCTTTGTTTTTAACAAGGATTGATAATACCATTTGTATGATGACAGTATCAGGAAGTCAAATGCAGATGGGTATCCCAGCACTTCTGACAGTCAGCAGCTGTTGCAGGCTTGAGTCCTTAGAAAAGAACACACCCCCCCGCTCCCTTTTGGTCACTGGATGATCAATCAATCAAGCCCTAGAGACTTTCAGAAATGAAAACCCAGGAAAAACAATCCATCTGTGATTCGTTTGGGTCCTCTTTTATCTTGCTTTATCTTCTCCTTCAGTGGACAGCTGCTTGCTTTTTTGGCAGTACTTTCCAAAATGCCACTTGTATTTCTGCAATTCCTTTTCTGTCTTCAGTACCTTCCACAAAGCGCTCTTGCTTCCTTCTTAAGATACTAGCAGATCTTACTGAAGAGTAGTATGATCAGGGTTTTGTACCTGTTTCTTATTTTTTATTTCAGGCATGTTTGACAGAGAAAACAAAGGGGGTGTGAACTTCAATGAATTCACAGGAGTCTGGAAGTACATCTCGGACTGGCAGAATGTCTTTCGAACGTATGACAGAGACAATTCTGGAATGATAGACAAAAATGAACTAAAGCAGGCACTAACAGGTTTTGGTAATTCATTTGTAATTACAGTTTTTCTAATTGGGTTATGTCATCAGGCGAGCTGCTTACTATTAGGGCTGTCCCGCTCTGACAAATGGGACTGGAAGCGCGGCAGGTGAAATGCAGTTACCCTTTTAGGTACAAGGTGCCTTTAAAGATACCCATGCCACAGGCACTTTTTAAGCTATTTTCTGTAATGGAAAAAATGAAACTGGATGTGTCAGTAGGTGTGTGGAACGTTTGCTGTCTCCCCCGTTAGCTGCTCCAAGAGTGCTACCAATACTTGAGGTAAATGTCTGAACTTACAGAGAGGTACCTGACACAGCTTGCCACTTTTTAAAACGAGGCCAGCAGTCTGCGCTACAGGAACGTTGTGGTGGCAAAAGGATCTTTCATTTAATTGACTTCACTTACAAAAACTTGAGTTGCGGCCCTAAGCCGTTCCCTGAGCCAGCTAGTCACTTTAATCAGTAATTATGTTTACTGTGACTCTGTCTAGAAGTATCATTAAGCACGGGTTTTACTGCATGCACTTTAACACAAAGATAGTTGGCAAAAAAAAGTCTCTTGTAACTGCTTACCGTTTTCTGGTTTCATTACGTATACACTTGCTAAACAGCCTAGTTCTTTTTATGGCAGAACTGTGGGAATGGAAACTTAAAGCATTTCTCTTTTCCAAGGTTACCGACTGTCTGACCAATTTTACGATATCCTTATTCGGAAATTTGACAGACAAGGAAGAGGACAAGTTGCTTTTGATGACTTTATTCAGTGCTGTGTTGTCTTACAGGTAAGAAAGGAGATGTACTTTAATGTCAAATTGAAAAAATAATTGCTTTTTCTTAAACATATATGGTTCTCAATTTAACTATAAGATTGGATCTAGAACTTGCTTAAAAATCATTTGAATAAATAATACAAGAGGTGCTCGAACCACCTATTTGTCTTCACTTGTTATACGTTTGCATCACAAGTAAATCTGATACAATTTTTTTGACCTGTTAAATACTTTTATGGGGCAAAAAAAAATGTAAAATAGTCTCAGTGTTTTAAAAGGAAAACATTTCCATTAGTTTAGTAACACGTGCTTCCTCTAGACCTTGGGTGTGTTAAAACTGGAGTGTGTCATCGCCCACGGTGCCCACAGTTCTTGTATCTATCTGAAGTGTGAGTTTTCCGTTTCTCTCTCTGTTTAAGGTTCCGACTAAAAGGAATTTGACCTTGCAGCTGAATTATTCAGCCTTTCCTCACTGCTGTCCCTGCAGGGGCAATGGTAGTAAAGGACATTTAAAACAAACAGAAACACTTGTGTGGCAGGAGAGAGCGCGTGAGCTGTGGTTTTACAGGTGTATCACTTTGTTTAGAAATGAATCACTGGGTGATTCCTTGCCTCAGTGCTTAAGGTTTCTTTAAGTGTCTCCTGCTTTTCTGAAAAGTATGTAAGACATTGGGGGGAAGTTGGGAAACGGCAACAGTGGACGAGCTGAGTTGTAGTAGGATAGGAAAAAGGTTGCTCTTGCTGACACTGGCCAGCATCACAGCAGTATCTTAAGCAACGTGAAGAGAAGGGAGTGCCCTGGAGTAGCATTTCTCTTACTTGCATGCAGGTGGTTTGTTCTCCTTTAAGGCTCTAGCCTAAAGTCTGCTGCAACATCAGCGGCCTTTATGCTCATTTGTAATAGAAGCCGATGATGCTTTGTTATAAACTCTGGCAAAGAGGGCTTTGCAATGGAGCATCATTCAGTGGAACCATGCTGGCAGTTATTTTGGTCCACACTCTGTCTGTATCGCCAGGCACCTTGGGGGTTTTACAGAGACAACTCAGACATTAATGATGCAGACAGCATATTTGGCTGGAAGGTGCGAAACAGCCAAGGTACTCGCTGCATTCTATCTCCAGGTGACTCAGATGTCTCCCAAGGATCGTGCATTGTGTCCTGTCCCTTCCCCTCTTTAAAGCCAGTTATGAAAAACTGTCTGATCTCTAACGAAGTGCCTGGGTAGCCTTAGGTGTGGTATCATAAGGTGGGTTTAGAATGGGATCTGCTACACGGCTGAAGCACAAGACACGGCAGAGAGCCACCTCTATTTGCACGAGATGGTTGTAAAGTGTCTACAGAGGGGACGAACAGAAAGCGTTTGTAAAGCTGTAGAAACCTGAGGGGCGAGGGAAGATGTGGCTGTCTGGGCCTCCCCCACGTACAAAAGCATATGGTTTTTTTCCCCCCCTTTTCAGAGGCTGACCGATGTGTTCCGACGATACGATACAGATCAGGATGGCTGGATTCAAGTGTCCTACGAGCAGTATCTTTCCATGGTCTTCAGCATCGTATGACACGAATAACTAGGAATTGCACACTGGCATTACACAGACTGGAGTTGCCAAATCATCCTGTACTGAATAAGATTATTGATGTATTATAATGGATGTAACGTCACACTCTTAAATTTTCTATGTTGGTCGTCACCTCACCTTCAGAATCTGTACTTGAGTTGTTTTTTATTTTGTATGACTGTATGATATGACCATCTCTGCTTACTGTAGTACAGAAAGCACAGAATCTAGATTTAACTGGTGCAATGTCAAACTTAACCTTCTTCCACATATCCTGCATGAGGAAAAACGGACTCTTTAGAAAGGCCAAATAAAAATAATGCTTGTTAGTTTATAAGAGAGTTGAAAGTCAGAAGTTGCACAACATGTTTTGCATGTGCCTTACTTTTATAAGAGTTTAATGTATTAATTTTTAATACAGAATTTAAAATTAAGTAAAAATATTAGATCAACTTTTATAGTCTACTTCACTTTTGTATCATTTTTTCAAGGGGGGGGGGGGGGGAGTGAGTGGTTTTATTTCTGTATTCTCATTTTCTATGGTTCAGGGGTCCCTCCCACTAACAGCACTGGCCTCTCTTCCTTGCTTTATCTTTTTATGTTCAGCTGCCTCCTCCTTTCAGGGTATCCTCAGGACATCTTACAATACAGCTTATTCGCACCCGTGTGCAATACTGCATCGTCCTCAGTGAGTTCCCCACAAAAATAAACTCTACCCAGCTACTATGGATATATAGTTTCCTCTGCTTAGTGGGCTCGTTTAAGGCCAATAGTCTTCCATTTTGTGCCGAAGCACTTGTTTGATGTGGCCTTGAACTGACAAACAGTCTGAAAGCCTTACCCTCCATCTCGCCGCTTACAGATGGAGAGGGACTCCGTAGAAAAACTGAAGCAAAAAAAGTAATGACCGATTCCTGTTGCATGCCGGCACCTGCAGTGACTTGGACAAAGCAGCTTGGAGGAAGCAGAGAGAAGTTAAGACGTGCTCTTCGGTTACACTTGGAAAAATCTTACAGCAGCGCTAGCCAAGGCACTTAAAACTACTCAAGCAGTACTACTGCTTATCTGTAACTGCTGCTCCTTGGGATATGTTTACAGGCAAGAGCCTTCAGCCTTTATCCAAAGGCTTTTTCTTTAACTGCAGCAATACTGATTCTGGGAAGTGTTCTGAGGATCATTAATGAATAGGTCCAAGGTGCCCAGCTAAAACTAGAAAAGCTGGTGCCTGAGCAGTTTCGCAGGCGGTCTCCTGTGAAGGATGTCTCCTTTTTCAGCCAACCTCCTTCTACTTCGTGGTCTCCTTGGTGCAGAACAGCTGGCTCCAGCACTTTCTAAAGGAGCCTGACCGCAGCGGAAAATCACCGAAGTGGCTCTGGCCCAGAATGACTCTCGTCTGCATGGGAAACGGGTACTGCTGAAGGTGTGAAAGCAGGTATGTCAGAAACTGGCCAGGAAACTGGCTGGGAAGCGGAACATTTATGCCCCCAAAGCATGTTCTAATCTGGATTTTTATCAACAGCTTTTTAGGGAGAAGTGAAATTGGTTCAAAGGGCTCTCATGCAGCATAGCTCTGTTAGTGCTGAAGGACGGCAAGCATTTAAAGTGCTTTCCCTGCCTACCTTGGGAAGGTTGTTCCCTGAAGAAGGACCAGAGCCTAGAGAAACAGGGAAAGGGCAGAGGACTCATTCATCTCCAGTTCTACACGACATGGGAGCAAGGTAAGGCAAAGAGCTTTCTTGGGAGTAAGGAGTGGCCAGAAGTTGAATCAAAACCAGGAAAACAGAAGCAACAGGAGCTCTCAGCTTATGCAGTCCTCCTGAAGAAGTAACCGGTAGGATGACAGAACTTCCAAGGCACATTCTACTTTTGGGTTTTTTCTCCCCCCCAGCCCCCTGAGGTCTTCTCACATGGTGCCTTTGTGGACACTGCTGGTCAGGTGCCAAACAGGTCAGCAGCCTGGGTTTATGCGCTCCTTTTCTAGCACTGGTTGAAGCCCACCTTTAAAGGTGGCAGGGTTGAACTGAGTGAGAACAAGTAAGACAGAATGCAAAGTCGCCCTCTCTTGTAAGTCATGTTTATAGGATGAGCTGCTGGCTAGAGAGAAAGAAGTAAAACAGGCAGATAGAGCCTCAGGCTGGACATCCCCATTGGCAAAAACTGATTGAGAGAGGGACCCTGTAAAAGAAAATGGTCTGAGTTGCAGGTACCTGGCCCTGCAGAGGAAGGGGAGGTGTCATGGAAGCCCTCCAAACCAGGCGGTGATGCCCAGTACTCACAGTTCTACACAGCCCTGAAGGGAATACATTCATTCATTGCTCCTGTCACAGGGGTAAACAACCCTTGTGCAGAGTTGCATCCCGATGATGCTTCTGTCTCTTTCTTTTTGCCCTTCATTTGAATACTAGGGATTGAACTCCAGGAAGGAACGTGTTCCCGCAGCAACAAGGATGCTACTTGTTTGAGACAAGGCAGCTATACCTGTGTGCTAGTGTGGGACACAAGAATAAAACAAAGTCTCTGAAACCAGTTGCAGAGGTGACAGCTACGGACCAAAAGTCAGACAAACCTAGGAATGCCAAGGGGCAG